AAATTTCTGCTTCTTTTTGGCTTTAAATTGAAAACAAGACTAAAGGCAAAGTCAAATTGGCAACTGGCATTGGAGGACTTCTCTCAGTTCATTCTCATTCCTTTTGTTTTTTTTTTTTTTTTCAGACTCTTATCTCTGGTCTTTTGCGTATTTATTTTCATCATTCCCAAGTATAGAGGCCTAGCACAAAGGGTACGCTGTCTTTTCTCTTGTTTCTCTAAACCAAAACCACAGTCAGTTTACTGAAACGAACTGTATATGTTGTACAGAGATAAGTGCATGAGAGAGACTTCAACAGTATTAGATGCAGTATGGGGTTTTTGTGCAATTTTAATTTTAACATCTTTTTAAGTTATTGAACCCAGTCTACTCTTCTTGCTCCCCTACTTTTATTTCTATTTTCTGGTTCTACCTTTTTTTTTGTTTAATTTTCAGTCTTCCACTGTGCCCTGTTGCTTTTGACACAGTTTCCTTTAGACAAATTTCTCTTGCCTTTCATGCATTTGGTTCTTCTTCTTTTTACATTCTTTCATATTTTCCCTACCTTGTCCTCATCATCTCCAGCTGGATAATATTGAGGAATGAAGCAGTGAAACTGGTTAAGATGCAACAGTGCAGAGGCCAAGTTCAAACACTTAAGCTTGAGAGAAAAAAAAATCTGAACTTAATCGCTTCTGGATTTCAAATGATAGAAGGGGTATGGCTGTATTGATCACAGCATGCCCAAGAGTGACAATGTGATGCAGCTGTGAAAAAAGAAAATTCAGTTACAGGTTGTATCAAGAGAAGTATTTGTAACAGAAATATGAAAGCATTTGATACTGTGTGCAGATAGTGGTCTTCATTTAGAGTGTTGTGTTCAATTTTGGTCACCCATGTGGAGCAAAAAATGCATTTAAATTAGAGTGGATGCCAGCAAAAAGTAATAAATGGGTTACAAAATTCCAGTGCTTGAGATAACATGTGATCTAGCAATGTCTCCAATGATACTGTCCTATTTATACTCCACCTGAGATAACTTAATGTGGAAAGCGGTGCAGGCCTCCATTCCCTCATACATGTTGATGACAAATGTGAGAACATTTTATATACACATGATAAACCTGAAAATTATCAGGCAAAAGGATCTTGTTCGATACCTAGAAACAATGCTTTAGGGGTCAAATATTCTTGAATTTTTTTTAGGATTCCCATATACACTGTTATTACTTGTAACTGCACAGTTTAAAAGCATCTTTTTAACATATGCCATTCCCTCATTTCCTTGATTGCATCAAACTGTTTTACTGTATTTTCAATAAAAGTTAAATGTGCTAGAGTGAAAATTGTTTCAAACTTCCCTCTTTACTTTGAAAAAGGAAGGCAGTTCTTAGGGTATCTGAGACATGTTCCATCTCTGTAGTAAACTCAATTGTACTGACTTTGGGCTTTACTCTTGTGTAGAATGTTGCCTGTTCTTTCATTAAATAAAGAATAACATAACAGTCATCCTTCAAGTCCTCAAATCCTGGAGGACTGCAGTGTCCAAAATCTGAAAGAGTGGTGTTCTCAAAGTTTGGGGCAACACACATTTCAGTAACTGAAGCAGAGGCTTTACAGTTTTTACACCTTTGAGTATCTCACATCATGCATATGTATAACTAAAGCATCACTATGAAACTGTGGCATCCTCTACAGTCTATTCCTGTTAAGAATAGTCATAATTTGATCAGTGGGAGAAAGCTGACCCTTTCCTTTTTCTGTGTCTGATAACCATGCACACAGATGCTGTTGCAAAAGACACACAGACCCTTCTTATGACCTCGAACTGCCTGGGGCTTCTTGATGACTACAGAACAGTTAAGAAAAACAAGGCACACAGCCAATCTAAAAAGATTAGCCATGTGCAGAAAGATGCAATGACAGGCATAACTGGGCTTGTATATTTCTAAAATCTGAGTTACAGATGCTGTATGTATTATTTTTGTAGATAAATATAAATACAATAATTTTTAACTCTGTGTGTGTATGTAAGGAGGGAATAGCTCAGCACAGGCTCTTTCAAACCACCCTGCATTTATTTTTCTCTCTGCAGCTACACTTACCTATTGAAGCTCCTATAATTAGGCCATATACCACATTATTTAGACCAAAACTAGTTGAGCTTGGATGGGCTGGAAAGGAAAAAAAAAATGCATCTTGAGGATCTTCAGCTGAGTCCACTATGCCATCAGGGCTCAAATTTCAGGATGGTAAAAAGGGTGAGAATCACTCTATGGCAGCTAGAAGCCGAGAGTCTCTGGGGTTCAGAGATCAACGATGTTTGGTCTAAAAAGGAAGAATCTTACTAGAAGAAAATCTTGCTCATCTCAGTTACTGTAACTCACTATAAATTATGCTGCTTGCTCTCCTTCCTTCTATTGACCATTCAGAGCCACCCCTATCTGCTCAGATGCTGTGCTCTTTGCTCAGGATGGACAGGACAACAAGGTTTGAATCACAGGAGAAAAGTTAGAGTTGAGACATAAGGAACACCTTTCAATGTTCGGGATAGGGAAGCACTGGAATAGCTTGCCTGGAGATAATTATTCTCTCTCCAAAGTCAGACATATTTAGGAATGTATGTCGGTCAGTCTGCTATGTCACTTCTCATATTCAAAGCCAACACAGATAAAAATAACAAATGAAAACCCAGACAAAACTACAGCCTCTTAAAAACTATCAGTGTGATGGTGCATATAAACCAAAGGGTTGAGTCCTTGTCTCGCTTTTCATACAGATGTTAGATGCCACAGTTGAGGATGGAGTGAATTTTAAAACTAAAACCAGACTGCAATAACAGGAATATTTAGACACAACTAATGTCAAAAGAAGCAACTCTGAATGATGAGAGCTGTTGTTTACCGAAGTGGAAAAGGCACGGTGAATCAGTAACTCTTGTGCTTCTTTGTAGCGTTCAGTAGGAATGATGTGGTTCTTCTAAACTGTTTCATAGATACTGCCTGTAACAAAGCTATTGTGTTTGCTACTGTATGTTTACAGTGGATTTAGAAGTGAATATTGAACTGATGATTTAAAAGAGCTCTTGTGAAAGTAGCCAGAAGCCCCTACGATAGGACTGGATATACAATGTGCTGCTAAATATCTGGGAGAAAGCAAAGCTTTAATGAAGCTACTGGCTTACAAAAGCAGACAAGACCATTGTGATCATATGATCTGAGTTCTTCTATGACAGCCTATAGACCCTGTCTGGATTTCACTGCTTAATTTTTGATTAAACCAAGTAATAAAGTGTCTGGTAAATCGTTAATCTAAATTTGTCTTATTTCAGTTTCTAGGAACCGAATCCCTTTAAACCTTTCTCTTCACTGTGGTAAATGACTTTGTTTTCTTTTTTTTCCCCTCCTGAGAGGTGCTTGGATGAACAAATAACTTCCCAATATTCCCCCAGCTCAGGTGAACAGGTTGAGCCCATAGAATTACGAAGTATAAATTACTTTTCTCCCTGGTCTTCAGTTATCCACGTGGGTCTTCTGTTCAGTTTTCTGATTTTTCATTAGAGGCAGTGTTCCTTTAGTGACCTCACCAATGCCAAATAATCTTACACCACTCTGGTTATTTTTAATCAAGTTCTCTATTTTCTACTCCAAAATTTTTCCAGGATCTGAGTGCACGTATAATGGCCTGATTGTCCACATAGCCATTTAAGTTACCAGGAATTATCTAGCTGTTCCATGTCTTACTGAAAATGAGCTTCCCATCCATCTTAACAGTTAGCACCTCCTTTGAACTGGTTATATAGCCTTCCTTCAAGGAGCAACTGATTCCACCTGTATGGGATGAAACTGTGGGGTTGTGGATGGATGGATGGATGGATGGATGGATGGATGGATGGATGGATGGATGGATCAGTCCACTGATTATAGAAGGAATCCTGGATTCCTGCCTTAAGGACAGCAGAGGGAAGGAGCTCTCCTCTCTCTCAATGCTGAACGTACATCCCAGTTACGATAAGCTCCCTGTTCATCAGCCAGCACGTTAAATGCTTTGTGGCAAGTTGTTTAGACTGGTTGATTTAAAACTTCTGTTTAACTGGTGGAAGGTAAAGTGTTTTCACTATCTGATTTTACCCCAGTAGTGAATGGAGTAATTTCTTTTGGTAATTTTTGTCTTTTTTTGTGTTGTTATTTTCAGTTTAAGTTCAAGTCATATGTTATCATGTAATAGATGCATAGTATTATCAGGGGGGCTTATCTCCAGTGTACATTTCCATTTTGCTTCTTGTTTTCAAAGAATTCAAACATTCTCATTTATTTTTACTAACATCAACCTCTTATAATATTTTATAATTTTAAAATCAGACCAGTGTTCCCTTGGTCCTCAGGTTGTTTAAGCTCAGGGACAAGACCCTTTGATTTTTTGAAAATATACTCCTGCCTTTCTACTGGGATTTAAAGGCACTTTATGAAGTGTTCTGTAAGTGTTCTGGGCTGTCCCTCATCTTCCGCATGATTAAGTCTTTCTCCTAGCTCATTTAGGAGAAATGTAAGATATAATTCCTTCCAGCTCTATGGAGCTGTCTCTAGGAGGATAAGCATGTTCTCAGAAAATGGGAAACTGGCAAAGTGTCTATCTTTGAAGGCTGTAGGAAAGAGGAAGCTGTGAAATTATTGTTGCTCCATGTTCACTTTCCAGAGAAACAACTATATGAAATACTTATCCCATTATTATCTTGTAAGAGCTTACATATTGTTACATTATGTTTTTGACACATCCTTCTACTCTCTTCCTATGCTTGACTAGATGCAGGCTTTAGAGACATGGATACATGAAATTTCCTATTTGTATTCACCATAAAGCCTCTATTGTCAGGTTTTGTTCTATTTGTACATTCAGGAACAAATTAGCTTTTATGTTACAGTCAAGACATGTAAGAAGTGAAGTTATTTCTTTTAAAAAGGATATGAATTATGAGATATTTGATCTGTGACTGGTGGAGGCTGATGGTGGATTAGCTTCATAAATCATTTGGGCAAGAATAATCCTTCTGGTGATCATGGTGATGTGATAAATAAGAACAATAGTTGATTTATATCTGATGATAAAACCAAAATATAATCACACTCTGGCTTTTCCTGCTGATTAATTTTAAGCAACTTGCTTGAAAGTCAGAGGACAGAGAGTTTCCACAGTAAAGGTAACGGAACTGGAAGAAGTGCTGAGTGCCATACGATACCTCTTTTCAGTGAACGGAAAGAAGTGAGTAATAGGAGATGTAGTGTTGGTGGAGATTCCTACTGTGTGGTACATGCATAGAAGACGGGGTACAGCTGTGGTGATCAGACTTGGTGATGTTTCCAGGATGTTACATCTGAAACACTGTTGGGGCCTGGAGTGCCAACAGGGTCTGCAGCCTCTTCCTTGCTGCTGGTGATTTGGCTGCCTGTGCTCAAGCCTGGCTCTGACATACCGCAGCTATAACGTGGGATCAGACTACTGGGGAAGAGCTGGGAGATGCCTCCTCAGGGGCTCCCTCTTCGCTTGGATGGCAAGGAGAAGGCAGGAATTCCTCCTTAGCTGTTAGCAGAAAGACCTGCAAAAGGGAAACTTGAAGGGCTAGATTTAAAAAAAAATGATAAATGTATTTTATTTGTTTTCCTTGTGTAAGAGAACTTCCAATTATCCTACTCACCTGCTTGCCCATATCCTTGACATCTTAAACTAGAGGGTTCTGACTTTATGTTAATCTTCCTCTGGTAATAAGCATAATTTCTGCTTGAAGGTACCACTTGCATATTGGTGACATATGTTGGCCTGCCACAGCCAAGAAAATGCTTAATGGGGGGAAGGGGAGAACTTTCTGGCATGATTGCTGACGACTATGGGGAGAAATTGATGTTTCTGGACATTCCTTCCACATCTGGGCAAGGTCATGTTATCCTGGCTGTGGCATGGAAAATAATAGCAGTTGGAGCCATTAAAGTTTGCAGCAACATAATGCAAATCAATCTGTTGCACTTACATGTCCTTTTAGAAATGAGGAAATAGAAAATAAGAATATGATCAATATCATTGCTCTTGTCTGTGTGTAGAAAACCTGGCATCAGTGACTCAGCCATTGTGTGCCATATGGAAGAAAAACACATCAGTCCTGGGTAACTATGCAAGATCAACAAGAGCTCTGGACTATCTCTACAAAGTTTTATGAGGCACAGCTTTTTTGATGGAAGATGGGAAATCCATGTGTGGCCCATAAGTGGGAAATAAGAATGAAGAAAAATGTCTGGAAGATACGTGTCAATTGATAAACTACCCATAGAAAAATAACACGCATTCTAAGAACAAAAAAATTATGGACAAACATCTAAGAAAAAAATGAATAATGTACCTTCAGGATGGGAAATACTGTTCTGGAAAGCAGTGACTCAAAAGCGTTTGGGAGTTGTGGTGAAAATGAGCTCACAGTGTAACACTGCTGTGATACGTGCTAATGTAGTGCTTGAATGAGAAAATAGTATCAACTTCAATAGTAGAGAGAATATTTATTTGAGATTGGTGTGGCTATTTCTGGAAGACACTCGAAGAACACCACTAATTGACTGGAAAGGTTTTGGATAAACTGTAAAAATGATCAAAGGAATGGAAAAGTCTGTCTAAAAAGAGCTCTCAAAGCTCAATCTCTTTAACACCAAAGAGAATCTGAGTGTCTCACTTCCTGAACATACTTGGCAGGGATGGAGGGAGGATGGGGTGACAGAAGGGTTTTCAAGCAAGATGCTAAAGGTATAGTGAAATGAAGTCACTGGAATGAGAAGCCAGGTGTAAAAAATTTCCTAGATCTGGACTATTCTGGCTCACTAACAATTATGCTTTAGAACATCTATCCAAAGGCTGATATGGGTTTTCTACTATGGTAACTTTATATATATATATATATATATATATATATATTTATATATATATATATATTTACTAAGAAATATGAATTCTAAGCAAAATTGCTGGAAAGTACATAATTGCCTGTTATGTGCTAACTAATGATTAGACCTTCAGTTTTATTTATGATCTTACAGATCTCTGAGCCTGTGCCAGGAGTGTGGATGTTCACTTCAGCTAAGGCGTGCTGGGGACACACTTCTCACAGATAATCCTGGAGAGAAAGACACTGGCACTACAGTTTTCCTACCAACTTGACCTACCTCTCCACTTACTTATTTCGAAGTAGACTGGTTTTTTTTTTAGTTATTATTTTTTAATACTGAGATCTCTGAAAGCTCTTTAGCTCTAGGAAAATAAATCATATTTGTCTCCAGAATGTCAGGCTTTGAGTCAGACCTACTGAAGCAGTCCATTCCAAAATCTTAGAAAGCTGAAACAACAAGATTTGAAATGCAATATGCAAATGATAAAAAGCTCAGGGTGAATCCTTAAATAATATATACATAGATATTATTTAGGTATATATAAAAAATATGTAGTAACTGCCATGTACTTATTTTTTTCATACATTGTGTCCCCTGAAATGCAAAGTGTATTACTTTCACATGGTCTGCCTGAATTTGTTTTTCTGCCACTTTTTGTATAAAAACATGATAGGAAATAAGTAATTGTGGATTCTGAAAGGTTTGGTCTCAGAAAGGTGCCTGTACGGCTTCTTTCTAACTCAGGTTTTTAATTGATCACAGGACTGAACTAGATTCGCCCAGCACAGAGCTTTATTTCATTTTATCATACATTACAACTGATGATTCAGTGCAGGTCATTGCGGATGGTTCCCCACAGTGGGATCAGTCACCTTTATAATTTTTCTTTTAAGCAAACCTATTACCACCACCAAGAAACACGGGTGTTGTTACCAGCTGCAGCCTTCCCATCAGCAGCTGGATATTGGACCTGCAGCTGCTCTGAGCAGAGCTCCTTATTTCAGGGTTGCTTTAAACTGGTGCAGGAAATACTTCAGTTATAGACACCTCTGCAAAGTACATGGCAAAATCCACTAAAAATGTGCTCTACAGGAAGAATAGAAACAGGCTGATATGTGTACACTCAGTTTACACATTTTTAACTGGGATACTTCTATTGACAGGATGAAAACATACTTAATATTTTGCTAAACAGTTAAGATTATCATGTTGAGTGGGTTTCAAATGCTTAATTAAACACTCTTATTAATATAATGTCTTCCTAAGTATTTGTAGGTGAGGATACATCTCAGATTTTTTTCATGACATGAACATTTAAAAATGCAGAGAGAAGCAAACGGAAAAGGTGTAGTGGGTGCTTCCTGAGCAGAGTGCTGGTCAGTGTTGTCTTCTACTTCGTTATAACTCAAATTCAATATACTTATTTCAAAATAAATAACATTTTAACCACCTGAGTCAAAGAAAATTAAAGAGAACTAGTGTGATTTGAAAAACAAATTTCATAAGCAAATGCTATTCAAGAAGTCAGTGGGCTTTTGTGTTACATTTGCTATTTTTAAGAAATGTTAAAACTAAAAAAATAAAAACGTTAGGCAATAATTCTTCTGTTCAAATACGTATACCACATGAGCATGCACACTTAATTAGCAAGGTGTTAGCTATCTAATGGCGGGGTTTAGTAGGTCTTTACTCTTCGAAATACTGTGGGCTAATTCATGCGTGTAGCTCTACTTACAAGTCAGTTCATGTGTAACAGATTAACGGGACTACTAATGATAAAAACCTATACTGAAGCTGGCAAAATGCTTCTGTTTTCAGTGAATTGTTCTTTTCCATGTACAAGAAAAAGAACATTTTTCCCTAGTTATCTTCTCTATCTGTGATCATTTGTATATTTTTTGTATTTAGGCTAGAATGCTCATGAAAGCTGTCTTGAACCTGCTTCAATGCAGAAAAAATTATTTTTCTGTACAGTGAGAGATGCATAGGGCAGTGCAACTTCAATATTTGGAACGCCAAACAAGAAACATGTTATTTTTAAAAACCAAACAAAACCAAACAACAAAAAAAGCCCCAAACAACTATCACGAATAAACCACAAAAATCCCTCCCCCCCCCAATAGCCTCAAAAGACCATTTTGAGAGAGACTGTGACTAAAACTGCTTAAAATATAGACTGGAGAGACTTCAAACTACCCAAATAAAATGCATGTAGCTCAAAGGGGGTGTGTGTGCAGACTCTACAGTCAAATAATGCCTCTAAAGACCCTTCCTGTCTCGATCAGAAGTGTTTCTGACGTTAAGAAGATGGCCCACAAACTATGAAAATGCCAGCAAAACAACAAAAGCACTTTTGGACACAATGAGCTATCTTTATCTTTCATCATATGGCTGCAACTCGAAAGAGAGCAAGCTATTATAATACACAAAGAGAAATAAAGTAGGGAAAAAAGTAGACAAAACTGTGGAAAACAGTAAGAAATGCACCTGTATAGGAAAATTACAAATGTAATAAAATGAACAATTTTATTGTTCATTTTCTGTGACCGCAGTCACTCCAAAATTGATAGAAGTGCTGTAGAACTTTAGCTTGGGAGAAAAATGCTGGTATTACAAATAGCAATCATAAATTGTCTCTATGTTTCATATCTTGTTAACTTCATAAAGTAACTGTTGCTTGCTAAACTTGCATAAAATTATAGAATATTACAAATATTAATGGAGGATTAGACACTTGGATATGTATAGCATAGAATTACTTTTTTTGTGATGTGCTACAGAGAGAACTTACAGGGCAAGTTAGAGAAAGAATTACAGTCCAAAGTTTGAAAAGAAATATTACCACTCCCAAAACAAATAAACACTATACACTTAAAATCTTTCAGGAGTGATAAAAGCTTCAGGAAAATAAAGATTTTATTTCAGTATTATATAGCAATTTTATTTACCTCACTTGGACTGGGAAAAAAAATAATTTAGCTAACCAATTGAAGCAGTGAAAAAATACAGCTTAGGAAATGTACTTTAAGATTAAAATCACACAATAAAAGAGTGTATAGAGATAATATAATGTTTAAAATAATTTCAGAAAAAACCTTAGATACGAGTAGACTAAGAAGCAAAATTTACAACAAAAAATTGAAGAGCCAGATATATCAAACAGAATTGAAACAATCTAAATCATGGGCAGTACTTAAAAAGAAATATTTGAAGCTGAACAGAAAACTGGAGCAAATAAATGCAGAAGAGCGAAAAGGTAAAATATCAAAGTTAAGAGAGTTTTAAAACTTTACTGCTTCCCAGATCACTGAGATAGATTTGCAGGACTGATTTGAGTGCAAAGGAAGACAAATATTTCCCATGCCATGGTGCAGTAAAACACGATCTTTTAAGTCCCAGCAACGCAGCGGAAGTTAAACGCCCTGTAGAAGAGGTTAAATGTTTTGGTCCTACCGAAACAGTAAGCTGTTGTCCTATTCATCAGGCCCTAACGAAAATCAATGCAGCTGGTCTCCCTTGTTCTGCTGATCTGCAGAGAATATAGGCAAAGCTTTTGGAGTTGTTTGTCCTCCGGTTTGACAGCTGAGCAGCCTGCTTTTAAATATCACCTCCTCCCGAAAGCAGTGCAGAAGCATTTACCAAATTTTAGCTGACAAAAGTACAATGAGGATAGACAGTCTATTCTTTTCTACTTGAACTTCTTCTTTTGCTCAGTGCTTTATTTCCCCCCCCCCCCCCTGCCTTGGCATTGGAACCACTCCTCATAATCCACATACCAGAAAATTTTGTAAACATCAAAAGTTAAAAAAATTATTTTTTTTTACTACTTCTTATTTAAGGCACTAGGAGATTGTGAAGCTGCCTTTTTTTTTTTTTTTTTTTTTT